GGCTGGACGTGACTGGGTACCGCGCGGGCGCTGCCGTGCGACTCTCGCGGTACTGGCCACTCGGGCGTGCTGTTAGGCACTGCCTGTGGCCGACTGGCATGCGGACAGGTGATGGGCGTGTGCTACTGCACACTGGCGTGCGCGACTAATTATTGGCGTGCGCCAACACACTGCCAACGGAAAGCTACTGCGGCCAGGCTATGTGCGACACCCCACGGGCATGCACTCACACCATCCGGCTGCACTGGGCTGACTGCCGGTGCGCACTACCCGCTGCGTGCGGGCATGGCGACCACGACCGATCCTTATCGGCCGTCCGACAACTCCCTCCGGCAATTCCAACATGATTCAACATGATTAAACATAAGATGATCAAATATACTCAAATTGCTCAACATCATGAACTTTGGCTCAATGAACTACTGTGGCCGATGGCGTGCGCACCGTGCACCGCCTACGACTTTAAGCCGATTCTTCGACCGAACATGAAATTCTCTCGACCCTTATGAACTAACTGAACATGAAATAATATATAATGATTGAATAACCATGAATTGCACATGAGATAACGGATAAATCTGAACTTTACTCGGTCATGGCATAACATAACCTAACCGAGCATGACTTGAACTTCCTCATGAATTGCCGGACATTAGTGAATATTATGACCCTAACATGATCTTACTAATATTAAGAGAAGGTTAGCTGGTGTTTACCTCCTTGAACTCTCGATCAATGATACTTAACTCCTTGCAAATGGACCTTGCGTGCGCGTGTGTGTATACCTCTTCGCCTTCCGAGTGCGTGTGTGTAAAATATGGCTTAATCTCACTTAACTTATGCTAATTATAAGGTAATCTCTCTCTTGACTTGCTGAATGCTCAAGTTAGGCGTAAGGTAAAATTTTTCTCCTCTCACCATATATAGATGGCCGTACAAAATAATGAGGAAGGGTGAAATGCTTTTGGCCAATCATATTGCACCACTTGCCAAGTAACTAAGGCCTTAGGTGTAACTTGGCTTGCTTAGTCACCACTTGAACATTAAGAACAAGCCACATAAGCTAATAGGAAATAATGAGAGCACATGACCTACTCCTCAACGTTACGGCCCTTTTAAATTAAATACGGCTTAAGTGAGCTTTGTGCTATACTAAGCACAATTTGATGCTAAAAAGAATGTACCCACTTTGTGAATTAAGACTTGCATAATGAACATGCTTACTTGACAATAGCATGAGTTTAAGCATAATTAAACACCATTTACGTACTTATTAATTAGACCGTGCATGTTTCGTGTTTAGTCTTAAGCTAAACACCATTCATTCTAATACATGATAATGAACAACAACTAATTCATGATTAAGCTCGGTAAAATATTTATCGAGCGATTGAACATGAATTAATTATCGAAAAATTATTCCGAGCATAAACGTGACATTCGAAAATTAATTCGAACGTTCTTAACTTGGATAAATAGTTCCGAACGATCACGCTTAATAAAATAAATATTTCGAAACTATACATGATATTACATTAATAACATAACGGGATATTACATGCCTAGCGAACCAGCGCACTTGTTTCAACTACAACCGCTCGGGTCACTATGCTAATCTCTGTCGTGAGCCGAAGAGACAACAGCAGCAGCAGCCGCCCTACCCTCAGCAGCAGCAGCAGCTTCCCCCACTGCCACCCCATCATCAGCAGCAGCAGCCCCCACCATTCCAGCAGAGGGCTGGGGGTCAAGCCCGCGTCTATACCACTACCCACGATGAGACCACCCGCAACACAGGTACTATGTCTGGAATGCTTTCTATCTCCAATGTGCCTATCTTTGCATTGTGTGATACCAGTGCCACCCATTCTTTTATCTCTTCTTGTTGCTTGGAGGCCTTATCTATTGGCACTGTGAGTTCTTGTGATCCTCTCGAGGTTAGTCTAGCCTTGCAAAAAATTATTATCTCTGATTCATCGGTTCATGATCTTTCTATTTTTATCGGCGGACGAGTTCTGACTTTTGACGCTTATTTGATTGAAATGAGAGACTTCAACGTGATCTTGGGCATGGACTGACTCACTCGCTATCGAGCCGAAATCCAGAGGCAGGAGGGCGAAGTCACCATCTTTTCCAATTCCGATCAGCCTGTTGTGTTCTTTGGGGTGAAGTCGAGGACTGTGCCTCGAGTCATCTCTTCTATGCAAGCTAGGAAGAGCCTTTCCAAGGGTAGCTGTCAAGGCTATCTTGTTTCTATGGTGTCCGAGGATGATTTCGAGCGGACTCCGGAGTGAGTTTCTATTGTTTGTGAGTACCTCGACGTCTTTTCCGATGAGTTGTCTGGAGGACCACACGATCGCCAAGTCGAATATACCATTGACTTAGTACCGGGAGCTGGTCCCGTATCTAAGGCCCTTACCGTATGGCGCCGAAGGAACTTCAAGAGCTCAAGCCCCAGATCCAGGAGTTGCTCAGGCTCAGTTTTATTCGACCGAGTGTTTCGTCGTGGGGCGCGCTCGTCCTATTCGTGAAGAAGAAAGACGGATCAATGCGCATGTGCATTGACTATCGGGAGTTGAATGCCCTTACAGTCAAGAACAAGTACCCCCTTCCCCTTATCGAGGATCTCTTCCACCAGCCGAGGGGAACCAGCGTCTTTTCGAAGATCGACTTGCGTTCTGGCTATCATCAGCTGAAGATCTAGGAGTTGGATATTTCTAAGACTGCCTTACGTACCCGTTATGGCCACTATGAGTTCGTAGTTATGCCGTTCTGACTTAGCAACACCCCAGTCGTATTTATGGACTTTATGAACTGGGTCTTTCATCTTTTCTTGGACCAATTCGTCATTGTGTTTATCGACGACATTTTGGTCTACTCCGGAGACATCGACCAGCACAAGGAACATCTGAGGATTGTGCTGGAGACCCTTCGCCGCGAGAAGTTGTATGCAAAATTCTCGAAGCGCGAGTTCTGTCTAGACCGTGTGGCATTTCTTGGCCACATTGTGACGGCCAAAGGCATTGAGGTGGATCCCAACAAGATCAAGGCAGTGGGCATGTGGGAGACACCAAGAAGTGTCGCTGACATTCGTAGTTTCCTGGGGTTAGCAGGATACTACAGGAGGTTTATCGAGGGCTTCTCGAAGATAGCCCAGCCACTAACCAACCTTACAAAAAAGGTCGTGATGTTCGATTGGAGTCCTAAGTGCGAGGAGAGTTTCCAGGAGTTGAAGAGGAGACTCACCACCGCGCCTGTCCTATCCATTCCCGACCCAACTTTGGAGTTCACCATCTATAGTGATGCTTCGAAGATGGGTTTGGGATGTGTCCTTATGTAGCAAGGGAGGGTCGTAGCCTAGGCATCGAGGCAGCTGAAGCCTCACGAGCAGAACTACCCCACTCATGATCTCAAGTTAGCTACAGTCGTCCACACCTTGAAGATTTGGCGGCACTACCAAGTGTGAGATATTTACCGACCACAAGAGCCTAAAGTACATTTTGAGAGAGGGTAGGCTATGTGTTCCGAAGGTAGGCTATGTGGTCGGTAAATATCTCACACTTGCCTCCATAGAGGTAGTGCCGCCAAATCTTCAAGGCGTGGACGACTGCAGCTAACCTGAGATCATGAGTGAGGTAGTTTTGCTCGTGACGCTTCAGCTGCCTCGAGACATAAGCTACGACCCTCCCTTGCTGCATAAGGACACATCCCAAACCCATCTTCGAAGCATCACTATAGATGGTGAACTCCAAAGTAGGGTCGGGAATGGATAGGACGGGCGCGGTGGTGAGTCTCCTCTTCAACTCCTGGAAACTCTCCTCGCACTTAGGACTTCAATTTAACCTCACGGCCTTCTTCGTAAGGTTGATTAGTGGCTGGGCTATATTCGAGAAGCCCTCGATAAACTTCATGTAGTATCCTGCTAACCCCAAAAAACTACGAATGTCAGCGGTACTTTTTGGTGTCTCCCACTTGCTCACTGCCTCAATCATGCTGGGATCCACCTCAATGCCTTTGGCCGTCACAATGTGGCCAAGAAATGCCACACGGTCTAGCCAGAACTCGCACTTTGAGAATTTTGCATACAACTTCTCGCGGCGAAGGGTCTCCAGCACAATCCTCAGATGTTTCTTATGCTGGTCGATGTCTCGGGAGTAGACCAGAATGTCGTCGATAAACACAATGACGAATTGGTCCAAGAAAGGATGAAAGACCCAGTTCATAAAGTCCATAAATACGGCTGGGGCGTTGCTGAGTCCGAACGACATAACTACGAACTCATAGTGGCCATAACGGGTACGAAAGGCAGTCATAGAAATATTCGACTCCCAGATCTTCAGCTGATGATAGCCATAACGCAAGTCGATCTTCGAAAAGAGGTCGGCTCCCCTCAGCTTGTCGAAGAGATCCTCGATACGGGAAAGGGGGTACTTGTTCTTGACTGTAAGGGCATTCAACTCCCGATAGTCAATGCACATGCGCATCGATCCGTCTTTCTTCTTCACGAATAGGACGGGAGCACCCCACGATGAAACACTCGGTCGAATAAAACTGAGCCTGAGCAACTCCTGGATCTGGGCCTTGAGCTCTTGAACTTCCTTCGGCGCCATACGACAAGGGGCCTTAGACATGGGACCAGCTCCCGGTTCTCAGTCAATGGTAAATTCAACTTAGCGATCGGGTGGTCCTCCAGGAAACTCTTTGGGAAAGACGTCGAGGTACTCACAAACAATAGAAACTCGCTCGAAATCATCCTCGGACACCATAGAAACAAGATAGCCTTGACAGCTACTCTTGGAAAGGTTCTTCCTAGCTTGCATAGAAGAGATGACTCGAAGCACAGTCCTCGACTTCACCCCAAAGAACACAACAGGCTGATCGGAATCGGGAAAGAGGGTGACTTCGCGCTCCTGGCACCGGATATCGGCTCAATAGCGAGTGAGTCAGTCCATGCCCAAGATCATGTCGAAGTCTCGCATTTCAATCACATAAGCGTCAACAACCAAAACTCGACCGCCGATAGAAACAGGAAGATCACGAACTAATGAATCGGAGATAATAATTTCTCCCGAGGCTAGACTAACCTCGAGAGGATCACAAGAACTCACAGTGCTAATAGATAAGGCCTCCAAGCAACGAGAAGAGAAAAAAGGATGGGTGGCACCAGTACCGCATAATGCAAAGACAGGCACGTTAGAGATAGAAAGCATTTCGGACATAGTACCTGTGTTGCGCGCGGCCTCATCGTGGGTAATGGTATAGACGCGGGCTTGATCCCCAGCCCTATGTTGGAACAGTGGGGGCTGCTGCTGCTGCTGATGATGAGGTGGCGATGGGGGAAGCTGCTGCTGCTGAGGGTAAAGCGGCTGTTGCTGCTGCTGTCTATTCGGCTCATGACAGACATTGACATAGTGACCCGGGCGGTTGCAGTTGAAACAAGTGCGCTGATTCGCTAGACACTCGCCGCTATGGGATTTGCTGCATCTCGGGCAGGCTTGATTCCCTGTGGGACGATTGTCGCACTTTCCGAAATTCCCCTTCTTTCCTTTTTTCTTATTGCCCGAGCTAAAGCCGGGCGACATAGATGAAATGGGCTGAGCATACTGAATAGGAGTCTGGGCAGGCTGAGAAGTATGGTAATTCGAGGGAACTGACGTGATAGGAATGAGACAACTCTCCACCTCATGTGCCCGCTGCACAGTGTCGACATAGTCTATGGAACTCAATTAAAGAACTCACCTAGCACGAGGAACTAAAATTCGTGTTGCATCCAAAAGATCTTGCATTTGAACTGCACTTTTTAGCTTTGTCTGAAGAAGCATTCAAGAAAGTTACAATACCAATACATGATGCTGAAAAAACAATAGAGCATAAAGAGAATAATTAAGCACCTCTGCCCTAGGCCTTCCTCCATTATATTTTAACATCAAATTTAAAAGTTTTTCTTCAGTGACTTTCAACTTCACTTTCTGCTTTGGAGTTCTTTCACCACTGTCAAGCAAAGAATAGTACCTCAAGTGAGAAATTCCAAGCAAAATTACATGGAAGCATTCATCAAGGTGAAACATCTTACTGACGGTTAATGGCGATTACACAACGTAGCTCTTCAGACTGCCCAAATGTCCCAATTATCCCACTTCCTTGTCATGTTAGTCCTTCACACTGTTGAACTGGCTCTACTTTCCATGGCAGAGTTGGAGGAATTTTTGAAGAGAGATGTGGGGCTTTTGCATCAAGAAACATCTTCCTCAATACACATGCAGCATATCATCATAATATCTGCATTTAGCAAGGAATATTCAACAGTCATGAGGACAAAAAGAAGAAAAGGAAATTTGGAAGAAAACGTGAATGAAAAATATAAGAGGATGCTTGGATACAAAACATAAAAAAAATAAAAAAAATATAAAAAAAAATAAAATTAAATCCAATCATTATTAACCACTTACTTTTTTTAACTCAAATCTACCTTAACTTCAACTCAACCTCATTTATATCCTCAATATTATCAATATAATTAAATAATATCAATCAATCATTATTACACATTACATCAACTTTAATTCACTATTTATCAACTCACATAATTTTAACTAACCATCACTTCACATCATCTCACTCCTACTTTTACATCAAATCAACTTTAATTATTTTATTTTAAACATACCATATTTTTCTAAATTAACTACACATACCATATTTTTCTAAATTAACCAAACCAAACCAAAAAACCAAAACAAAACAAACAAAAAAATCATATCCAAGCGTACCCTAAGAGTTTATGCAAAACTCTTGGATTGACGGTTGCTTGCAAAGCAAAGCCATTAGTTAGTAGAAAGCTGCTATACGATCTCCAGTCCAAAAGACCAACAAGAGATGGAGGGTAATTTTCTTTCTTTGACCAGGTCCAAAAATATTATCAGAATAGTCCTGGTTATATTCATGTGACAAGTCCTTATGAAATAAAAACATTCAAGAAAAACAAGATCAGCAACAAAAAAGAGTACTTGTTAGAGTTCTTGACGAAGCTCCATTCATTGACATCACACACATAGGTTCGTCCTTCACAATGCAATAGATAAAATCCGTAGACCTGAAATATAAAAGAGAAATACTTTATAATGTTAATACAAGTTTCTCATGATGGATGGGACCAAGTGGTATAGAAACTTGTAGATAAATCATAATACAACTAGACCCAACAAAGATATAGAAAAAAAGTTTGTTCACACAATCTAGTTCTAGCAAGATAGTTTTGGCCACAAATCTCACTTGAAGACCATCTTGATTCACAAAAATCTGAAAGATTATCCAAAATTCATAAAGAATATGGTGACAGAGGGCACAAGAGGTGGAGAAGGCGGCAAAATGGAACAGTTACTGGAAGCCGTTGTTTCAACTATTATCATGACAGAAGTTTTAAATAAAAACAAATAAATGTCATTCCAATAAAAAATACACCTTGAAAGTATTGACTTACAGCTTGTCTGACCTGCAAGGCATATCAAAACTTTGAACCTTTGGTTTGTTGTCGAGAAAGAACTTAAAACACACCACACATCTGAATTTAAGTTTTGATAAGATTAATTATTACATTTCACAAGATGAGATGCATGAAAACCAAAATGCAGATACCGATCAATAAAAAAATCAAAATGCAGAGACTTAGGCAAAATGATGAGGACTGCAGAAGTAAGCTAATAATCCCAATCAGACGTGCAGAAAACTGCATCTCTGCTCATAAACCAGTGGTTAGATGCACAAAATTTAAGCAGAAACAGCATAAAAATCACGATTCGCTATGTTCACCAATTTCCGAAAACTGGAATGGAACTTCAAATGCATGAACGACTACCAAGGATCTAAAATACCTAATTCTTTACCATCAGGATTTCTCATAACAACACCATCCACTACAGGGGAGTTCCTTGCCTCTGCATGAGCATACTCAGGGCCCACGGTATAAACCTAAAATAAAAATGTAGACAACACCCTTGTAGATTTATAAATGGAATCAAGATAACAATTCCAAGTGTACAAAAAGTCTAAAACAACGATTTCTTCGCAATATTTTTATGTGATTTATATTTTCCATTTTCAGGGTAGAAACAATAGAGGTTCAGGGGGAGGAGAAAACAAGTAGATAACTATAATAAAATTCACACAGTTCTTTGAGTGTTAAAGATAACAATCATAAAACAAAATCTTCCATATCTTTTGCATATACTATATCAGGAATTCTAGGAGCAAACAACCTTCACATCTGTTCCCCAGTAGGCAGAAATTCCTCATATATGTAAGACCCCTCACGCCTCACTCTTCTGACCTCTGGGTGAAATTCACTTGAGCGAATACCAACCTGAAAATATAGCCAAGTTCAACTTAAAAGTTATCATGGCACGAGAGGAACAACAAACTAAGGCACATTTCTGATCAGGAATGGATACTATAGCAATAACACGGGTGCAGTTATTTGTACAAGGCATAGACCAAGATATGATGATACTTTATTATCTATTTCAGAATGTATTATCAACAACAAAACCATTTTTCATCACATGTACTAATTCAAGTTGTTTGAATCAAACAACAATATAACATAAGCAAAACGAAAATTATCCTACAAAGTCACAGAACATAGTTATAAGAAATTTCAAGGATGTTGACATACAGTGCTCATAGAGCAGAGACCTTGTAGTTTTTTCTGAGAGGAACTCTATAAGACTCTACTTAAAAGGGTGAATTATAATGCAGCCACACCAAGCATAGACAAAACCACCTACCAAAAGCTAAACCTAAATCAATGAGTTTCTTCATGCAATAAAATAAGATTGCTTAATACCTATTAATGGGAAGGTAGTAGGATAACATGAGTTAGTATGCAACCTTGACCTATATGTTCAGAAGAGCAATTCAACATAACATGAAAATATCACAGGATAAAATCTACAACTTTTCCAGGCAAAAGATACATCTAGAGAACACTTGTTTTCAAGGGAGCCGTGGGCTAATTTAATTCACAATTCTGACAATCAAAGGATATAATCTAAAACTTTGCTGGGGAAAGGATACATCTAGAGAACTCGCTGCTTTCGAGGGAGTTGTGTGCTAATTTATTCACAACACTTCACAAAACACTAACAGACTTACTGCCCTAAGTGGCTAATGTATACGGTTGTGGAACAGTAGATGTATGGATGCTGAGTCACAGTCCAAGAAGGAATGAAAGCACAGATCTTGGACAAGATCTCACCTTGCGGAACAACTCCTTCATTCCCCCACCAGCTGAACTAGGGTAATATATCATTATACTGTGATCATCGCCTTCAAATAACAGAAGATGGAAATTGGCAGGTATTCCAGTAAAATGTATGAACAGTGCACTTAGAAATAGCATATGAAACTTTAAGACTAACAGCTTCAGGTTGAACTTTGCTGATCAGTATCAACTACTAAAAGCATAAATGATTTTTTAACTCATATAACCATTACTTGATATTTACCATCAACAGGCTTCTCCACAAAAGGCTTCCAGAATCAATTCCCATGGACCTCAACGAAATCTTCTTCCTCGACAAAATAATCAAGATCTTGACGAAATTCCCTGTTAACTAATGCGTATCTTGGAACAGGGTTACCAAACAGTTCAAGCCGCTGCAATAGCAACAAATATTGACCCATCCAGCATTTTATTGTACTCCATCCAAAAGAGCAGTAAGCAATGAAAAAGGCTAAGTTTTAACATCAACGCCCACACATACGCACACACATGCAATTACAAATGAGCATAATGTTATAAATGATAGGGAATCCTGAATCTTAATTGATAACCGGAAGGCCAGTGCCAGAAAAGCAATTGATTAATGATATTATATTAAGATGGACAGAATAAATTTAACAACCTGTTACATAAGCTCCAAAATTCATGAAATTTAAAAAATGGCTAAATCATGACAGATGACAAACATATAAAATTTTCAGATCAAAATTACTCATGCTCGATTTATAGGAATTTTTAGTTTTTTACATGGTTCTGATCAGAAATTAGAAAAAATTTTAAAAATAGCAATACTGGTCCAAAAATTACGAAATTTATACACCAAGTTCAAAACTCAGCAGGGAACAACATACTAAAATTTCACAACAAAATACCAAGGCTACGATTTTATAAAAATATATCAAGGTTCAGCAATTAACAAGACTTCGAAAAATCATATAGCACTCAAATAAGCCCCAAATGATCTTAGGCCTCTACACAAAGCCTAAGGATATAGGTGTGTCCCATTTCCTACCAGATTTTACCAAGAGAAGAGAAGTTAGGGAATTTCCATCCTATATTCCCTTAATCACAAGAAATAACGAATCATCATGAACATAATATAACTTTTGATGACAGCATATAGACATTGAAAACGAACATATACGCAGCCTCGAAAACAAAAATTTCACAGCAAGATCAACCTCCTAACATCGCATATAATCATAAGAATATCATAAGAATATCATGGTCGTAAAAAATCATGCTCGTTCACAAAGGCCTCGACCATTTTAAAGCAACAATATAATTTCTCATATCAACAAAATATATCAATCATATATAAGGGGCTATAGCCATCGATTTACCGAGCACCGAGGGGAGACGGCGATTAAGTGCTCAAAGAACGTAAGAGTCGGAGCTCGGGAACAATCGACCGGGACGCACTGACCGCACGAGACTCAGCGGCTGCGGGTCGCACGATCGTGGATGGCGTCCGGCGACTCGCGGCTATGTTTGACACTCCGACGGAACTTACTTGACGGGACTCGACGGCCACGTTCGGCACTCCGACGGGGCTCGACGGGACCTGACGAAGGGTGATGATGGCGCTGCGGGTCTGATCACGTCAGGGCTCGAACAAAGCTTGGCCAGGTCACGTGGCGATGGAGGGACTGCAGCGGCGTGGGGGTAGTGGTGACCTGCTCGTGGTTGTCGTCTGCTGGTCGGGGCTTGGGCTCACTTGCGGTAGGAGCAGCGAACAGAGCCTGGATGGGGAGAAGCACGGCGGTCGGAGGCTGCAACTGGGGCGGAGATTTGCAGGATGGTGATGACAGATGATGATGGCGTGGTAACCTGATAGTGGTTCGAAGGTGGCGCTGCAAACTCGGTGATGGTGCGATTGAGAGGTGGTGATCGCGGTTATGGCGATGGTGCAGATGCGGGAGAAAAAGAAAAAGAACGAGAAGAAGGCAGATTTCTGAGGATAGCTGCGGGGGAAAGCTTTTGACGAGCTAAGGGTTTTAATCCCTCTTAAATACATATAATTAGGTTAGAAATTGACTTGATCCTCAAGATAAAAAAAAAAAATAAAAATAAAAATCACACGCACACACACGCATGAGAGAAGGAAAAACAGGTCTGGTGGCGTCGGTTCGGACTTGTGGGGCGCGGTTCATGGCTCGGCTCTTGGGCTCAGTTCAATCGCACGATTAATATAAAAATTAGATAAATACATATATATTTATAATACACATTTTATTTAATATAATATATCACTTAGACAGTTAATATTAGTAATTTTAATATTACTAATAAGAACAAATAATGGCAAATTGGCATTTAATAATAATAATAACAAAAATAATAATAATAATAATAATAATAATAATAATAATAAATATCAATAATAACAATAATAAAGACAATTAATAATAGAAATAATTATTAATTATTCCCAAATAATCCACGATAAAACGGGGTATTACACTATATCCACCTTGCAAAGAATTCCGTCCTCGAAATTCAAAAATAAAACTAGAATGCAAATAAATACAAAGGGAATATCAAAACAGGATATTTGGTACTCCCTCCGATTATCGATCTCCTCTCTTCCAAGTCGTCTCGCCCTCGACTTGACTTGGTCGAGAGTTATAACAGAACTGATATAGCCTGGTTGTGGCCTCTTTTCTTATCGCGAAGCTCCTCACTTCACGTGGTAACTACATTTGCAATTGAGTATAACAACTCATAAAGATAAAACCTCCAAGCAAGACTTAAGACTTAGGTCATTGCAATACACGTGGAAATTTCCCGGAATCGACACGCATTTACTCGCTAAAGACTTGGCAACTGTGAGATGAATGGTTGGCCTGGCATGCGGCAACGTGGCTCGCTACATGCGGCACACTACACACAACACTTCCTACGACTCGAGATGCATCATCGAGCGTGGCACGCCTGTGCGCGGCACCAACACACAGTACACCTGCACCACCCGCATCCAGTAGCTACGGTTCGTTCCTTATGTTGGGTTCACCTGTACCGTACGGGTTATACACAACGGAAAAATTATGTTTCAAAACAAGTATTTATCGTATAAATACTCAACCCATACGTACATGTAGCGAATGCACAAATCTTCATCATTTAAAAACATGTAATAATACAAATTTTGATTTGTTATAAGTAACTTAAAATTTACCTTTGTTCTTGAACTCCTTCAAATTGACGATGGATGAGGAAATTAATTCCCGGTTTGGTAACGTCCACTTCTTGATGTTACTCACTTTAGGAATCCAAATGTTTTCCCTCTAATCGTGTCCACCTTTTGAAATTCGGTTCCGGAATAGTTTCTTCACTAGTAGAAACTACTCTGTTTTTATTCAATAAGTATAGAATATATTTTTGAGGAGATTTTTACAAGAACTCTTTCTTGTTTTATATTTTGAAGAACACTTCTTCTTTTCTCTCTTTTCAACTCTTGAAAAACTTAGCCAAAAACTTAGCAAAATTGAACATCAAATATGTCCATATTTATACCAAACATTTTAGTATAAAATAATAATATTAGGTATTATATTTTCTTAAAATATAAAAAGTCTTCAATAATATTTTCATAAAATATTAAGTCTTGAAGAAGACTATTCCCCACCCAATATTCTATTAATAAAAATAAAAGTAATTATGTGAATTGGTTAACAACTCCAAACCACTATAATTAATTTATTCTTATTAATATTTAATCTTTAATCATATCAAAGATAAATAATAAAATAATAATTCTTGAAAACATTTTTTTTCAAGACTTTATTATTTTAATCTTTTCTTCCATCTCCTTATTTAATAATCATATTATTATTTCGATTTAAAATTTAAAATCCAATTTTAAATTCCAACTATTAATTACTAAATTAATATCCAAAATTCAATTAATCAATCTAATTGATTAATTTAATATATTCCATAAATTGACATCTAATCAAATTAGATTTGTCAATTAATTCTAACTCTTTAGAATTACTATTTCCATTTTACCTTCATTCAACAATTGGTGTGACCTTTTAGGTTCACAATTAATACTAGTAGTGGGCTTACAACTCTTTGTAATTTGAGTTAATCTTATTAACTCTTATTCATGAATTAACTCCTTAATTCAAGAACCCACATATCATGGGAACATCTAGCAAGTACCATGAATCTAGTATTAAGTGAATAGCGAGTAAACCTATTTCGATTACAAGTCCATACATGTAAAATCCTTTTGACATCCAATTTCCCGATTAAATCTTGGGTATGATTTTGTCGAACCCCAAATTGATTTAATAACTATGATTCCATTTCAAGTTTAGTAATTCGTTTATCTCTATTCATCCCGCCTTGGCCAAGGACTTTGAATTACTAACTATGAAACACATAGAAAATTTACTTATCTTCATAAGTGTCGAATCCTTTGTTGGCCACTGACAAACTTCCATACATATGAATATAATACCCAAAATATCCCTTTATACGATTGTGATAGCAATCAAAAGGATAAATCAAAGTAAAACATAATATGCACAAAGTTACTATCGTGCCTCAAGTCTAAGGATTAATCATGTACTATTGTAACATGAAAATTCTTATTCGACAGAAACATTCTCATTAAGAATTTTTATACGGTCATGTTCAGTGAACTTGTTCTCTAACAAGCACCCACAAATATGTATTTGCGTCCCACGCTAATGTTGATGAAATGCAACATTCTTGTCCAACAAGCATACATCATATGTGCAAGTCTTTTCCAGATTTATTTGATATCCCATCTCGAAACATCCAACGACTTGGAACTGTATTTAAGATCACAACTTTTAAGGTATGTTCCATGATCACCATCTCTATGCGCAACCATACTTTATAGCTATAAGTGATCTAGGGACTTTATCTTAAGTGCAAATATAAGATAAATGCTTGTTCTTAAAATAAAGTAATGCCTTTTAATTAATATAATTCCAATAGATTGTATTTACAAGTAGAATACGTCCAATCCGATTGGAACGCTGGGTATCCTACTCTAACAATCTCCCACTTGCCCTAGTTCCAATCACTCATGTATCTTAGACCCATTTTCTCACGATGTCCTTCGAACACTTTTTATGATAAAGGCTTAGTTAAGGGGTCTGCTATATTTTCTGCTGAGTCGACTCGCTCCATTACAACGTCGCCTCTACCAATGATTTCTCTAATCAAATGGTATCGTCTCATAATGTGTTTGGATCTTTGATGAGATCTTGGCTCTTTTGCTTGTGCAAAAGCCCCATTGTTATCACAATAAATCATTATTGGATCAACAACAGATGGTACTACATCCAATCCTTGGATGAAGTTCCTTATCCAAATAGCTTCTTTTGCAGCATCAGATGCAGCAATATATTCAGCCTCTGTTGCAGAGTCAGCAATCATTTCTTGTTTGGAACTTTTCCAACTAACTGCTGCTCTATTCAAAGTAAATAAGTATCCAGACATGGATTTATAGTCGTCTTTATCGGACTGAAAACCAGAATCAGTAAAGCCTTCTAGTTTCAATTCTCCATTGCCGTATACCATAAAGATATCTTTAGTCCTTCGTAAGTACTTAAGAATCATCTTAACGGCTTTCCAGTGTTCTTCACCTGGATTAGACTGATATTTTCTCGTTACACTAAGTGCATGAGCCACATCAGGTCTTGTACATAACATTGCATACATAATGCTACCAATAGCTGATGCATAAGGTATATGACTCATCTGTTCTCTTTCTTCAGGTGTCTTTGGAGACATCGTCTTAGAAAGTAAAACCCCATGACTCATTGGAATATATCCACGTTTGGATTCTTCCATGCTAAATCTTTTTAGCACCTTATTTATGTACATAGACTGGGATAGTCCGATCATCCTTTTAAATCTATCTCTATATAATTTTATCCCTAGGATAAAGGATGTTTCTCTCAAGTCTTTCATGGAAAACTGTTTTGACAACCATGTCCTTGTTGACTGCAACATTCCTATATCATTCCCAATGAGTAGGATGTCATCAACATAGAGAACAACAAATGCAACTGCATTCCCACTAACCTTTTTATAAACACATGGTTCATCCGGATTCTTATGAAAATCAAACGTTTTTATCTTTTCATCAAACCAGATGTTCCAACTCCTCGAAGCTTGTTTAAGTCCATAAATGGACCTTTGAAGCTGACAAACCATTTGTTCGCTCCCACTGGATATGAAACCCTGCGGTTGTTTCATATAGATGTCTTCATTAATGTTTCTATTAAGAAAAGTAGTTTTCACATCCATTTTCCATATCTCGTAGTCATAATACGCAGCTATAGCTAGCAATATCCGAATAGATTTAAGCATTGCTACTGGTGAAAAAGTTTCCTCATAATCAACTCCTTGTTGTTTAGTATAACCTTTAGCAACTAGTCTTGCTTTAAAAGTATTCACTTCTCCATCTACACCACGTTTTCGCTTGTAAACCCATTTACAACCTATGGGTACGATACCCTGTGGAGGATCAACCAAGGTCCATACCTTGTTTGAATACATGGAGTCTATTTCGGATTGCATAGCTTCTTGCCATTTATCTGAGTCGATGTCCGACATTGCCTCATCATAGCTTATTGGATCATTATCCAAAAGGAGTCCCTCTTGATTGTTCTCTAACAATAGGTACAGCCTCTCAGGCGCCCTAGAAACCCTTTCGGATCTCTGAAGAGGTTGTGTTTCAGATGGTCCAGTCTCTGCTGGTATGTTATTTGTGGTACTTTGTGGAATTTCTTGTGGTTCTTCATTAAGTTCTATGACTCAACTATTCTTTAGAAACTCTTCCTCTAAGAATACAGCATTCCTCAAAACAAACACCTTTTGTTCAGAGGGGTCATAGAAATAGTATCCAATAGACTCTTTTGGATACCCCACAAATTTACATAAGATTGATCTCATATCCAACTTACCTCCCACTAACTGCTTCACATAAGTAGTACAACCCCATACTTTCATATACTTGTACGAAGGTGTTTTTCCACACCATATCTCATAAGGTGTGCTGGGTACAGCTTTACTTGGCACTCTGTTCAATATATGTGCTGTTGTTTCTAAGGCATAGCCCCGGAATGAAAGAGGTAAACTAGTGGAACTCATCATTGATCGAACCATATCTAACAATGTTCGATTGCTCCTTTCTAAAACTCCATTGAGTTGTGGAGTTCCAAGAGGTGTCCACTTTGAAATAATCCCATTATCTTGTAAATAATCAAGAAACTCATTGGTCAAATATTCATCTCCTCGATCCGATTGAAGAACTTTAATACTACGACCAATTTGTTTCTCCACTTCACTTCTGAATTCTTTGAACTTTTCAAATACTTCAGATTTATACCTTAATAGGTATACATAACCATACCGTGAATAATCATCAGTAAAAGTTATGAAGTAGTGGTAGTTCCCCTTGGCACTAACATTTAGTGGTCCACAAACATCTGTATGGATAAAATCCAACATACCTTTAACTCGCTCCACTTGTCCAACAAATGGTGATTTAGTCATTTTACCTTTAAGACATGATTCACATGTAGGCAACATTTCCTTTCCCCTAAGGTCGAGTTTTGGTCCCAATTTGTGAATCCTCTTTTCATATATATGACCTAATCTAGCATGCCAAATTGTGAATGAACTATGATTATCTAATTTCCTTTTATTTTGTTGAATGGTTAGGATGGGACTTTGTGGTGTAATGGTATATAAACCATTTGTCAAATTTCCGGAATATATTAAAGTTGTATCTTTGAAAATAGAACACCTTCTATTTTCAATTACAAACTTAAAACACTCTTTATCCAATACTGGAATAGAGATTATGTTTCTTATAACATCCGGAACATACAAACAATTTGTCAAACAAATATTTACACCACCATTTAATGCTAGATAAACAGTCCCAATTGCTTTAGCAGCAACTCTTGCCCCATTGCCCATCCTTAGGATTGTTTCTTCATTATCTAGCATGTTACTTCTTGCCATCATTTGCAAATGATTGCAAATATGTGAGCCACAGCCGGTATCCAGTACCCAAGAAGAATCATTAACTGATAAGTTAACTTCAACAAAATAAAAACCTGAACTTTTCAGGCTTGCAAGATACTACTTGATTCTTCCAATGGCCAGTTTTACCACAATGATAACATTCGTGATCAGTTAACTTGTTTTGCTCAATTATACTTGCAATTGGATTTTTAGCTATTTTAGTAGATTGATCTACAAAAACAACAAACGAAGCAGAAAATAATTAGACTATGGAATTTATATTCATTTAACATTAGGTCTTATATTAAATGTCTCCCACTATTTTAATTAAAACCCATTTTAATTATGAAAATCTAATTTTCATAGTGAGCTTGAAGTCCAATAAAGATATTCCATATCCCAATTTTATGAGTACGCATGGAACATTTATACTGGTAGTCAACTTTTGACAACTGTATTGCTATACTACCTTCAAGATGTTTTGCCTCACCTTTAATTATATACCTCAATTTTATGACTGTATATATTACTTAGTGTCAAATCAAACCCATCAAACATTCATGATAACGGCCCACCAGAATGTTCCATGACGCATGGTCAACACAAAGAGGAATCCGTCTCACGAGTATCTTTATACTTAGTAGGGATCACAGCTTTCGACACAAAACCACCCCACGACTCATGGTCAGTGATAAAGCATCGTAGCATCTCATGTCGTCTACTTTTGATGGAAGGCATGGATTAACAAGTTCCAACTTATTTTTATCCATTATTGATTTGATATGAATTAATCAAATTAATTCTTTAGGGTTCCTTAGATCTCATCGATTACCATCTTTACGTGTGTTTATTTATCGTATTATTCATCGCATGAATCGCAAGCATAAATAAACCTAACATACATCTAATGCATGTATACGGTGTGTAACGCCCCGTATTTTATTAATAAAGGAAATACTAGCTTTTTGTTTTAAGCTAGCCTTTATTAATAAATAATCAGGTTTATGTTCAAGATCAGGTTAATCAGTCAGTTATATTCTATGTTCGACTATTAGTCGATAAGTTATTCGGTTTACTTATTATAGTAACCGAATAAGTTTCCAGATTTAATTCCGATTCGTTTAGTTAATTAATGAGTCCTGAATTAATTATTCAGTCAGCGATATCCCGTCATGTTAGTTATGTTTTTAGTTCCGA